GGGTGGGTGAAATAAATGGACTAGGGTAAAATAAAATGGATTTGGGTGAAAAAAATCGGGTTTGGGTGAAAAGAAACGGGTTTGGGTCAAAAGAAACGATTTTGGGTCAAATGAATCGGATTGGGGTCTTTTATTACGTGGCTTAACTAGGAGGCGAGTGGCTTTCACTCTAGGCATAATGTCCTGGGTTGGGTGACGGAAGGGGGAAATAAATATACTTTTATGTACTTAAGGTGTGTAATAGGTAGTCCATTAGTTAAAGTGTGTAAATGAATTTTGGGTATACGTTTAGGGGGCAATTTATGCCTTTTGCCTAAAATAAAATGCATCTCCTTGTTTCCAAGCACATGATCAGAGGAAAATTAAAGGTTTCTTTATACTAGTATGAAAGATCATAAAGCAGGCAATTATTCAACATTTTGCAGAAGAAAATTCAACGGGATGCAGGGGAAAATAGATTTTTGCAGAAGAAAATTAGAAAACTTAACAAGAATCACACAAATCGAGCAGAAATATTCATATGGTATAAAGAATTGTAGCCCTAATAATAAAAGTAAAGCAATTCTAGTTGTAACACAAATAAACAAACACAGAAGAAAATTCAACTGGATGCAGGGGAAAAAAGATTTTGCAGAAGAAAATTAGTTGAAGTTGCAAAACTTAACAAGAATCGAGCAGAAAACTGGTAGCTAATATTTAAGTCTTGGTATAAAGAATTGTAGCCCTAATAATAAAAGCAAAGCATGCAATGCTAGTATAAAAGTTCACTTCATATATATTTTAGTACCTGCAGGCGGTCTTCCCCTACCCTTTTCACAGGCACATCAGAAACCGTCGCTTCATCTGCCGTAGGAGACGAAAGTCCACTGCCGGCGACCTTAGACGGTGAAGGAGTAGTCGCTACATCTGCCTGCGGCTGCGTAGAAGATGAAAATCCACTGCCGGCGACCTGAGACGTTGAAGGAGTAGTCTCTACATCTGCCGTAGAAGACGAAAATCCACTGCCGGCGACCTGAGACGTTGAAGGAGTAGTCGCTACATCTGCCGTAGAAGACGAAAGTTCACTGCCGGCGACCTGAGACGTTGAAGGAGTAGTCGCTACATCTGCCGTAGAAGACGAAAGTTCACTGCCGGCGACCTGAGACGTTGAAGGAGTAGTCGCTACATCTGCCGTAGAAGACGAAAGTTCACTGCCGGCGACCTGAGACGTTGAAGGAGTAGTCGCTACATCTGCCGTAGAAGACGAAAGTTCACTGCCGGCGACCTGAGACGTTGAAGGAGTAGTCGCTACATCTGCCGTAGAGGACGAAAGTCCACTACCGGTAGTGCCTAGGGGAGCTGGAAACGACGGCACCGGAGGAGTCGAGGAGGAGATTGGTTGCACCGGCGTACCATCGTCGGCGGCGGAGGCGGAGGGTGATCCCACGTTTTCCATTGATGCTTTGAACTGATTCTTCAACTGATTTTTTTCGCTCTATTTTCACTATACTCCACCAGTAGTAACTGTGCTCTATTTATAGTTTTGAAAAACAAAAACCGTTTTATTCAGAATCAAACAGATTGGAAATAAATTACATTTAAATCCCATTTTTGATAAAACCAAAATTGGGTTAAAAAACATAAAGAATAAAAAATCATTTTTATTTACTCCTACCGATTTTCTGTGCTATTTTGTTTTTTAAAATATAATTTAATGACTTTCGTTATACTTAACTAATTTTAATGTAATAGCAGTGAATAACTGGTTAATTAGTTAGTTAAAGTTAGTCACAAAATTAGTTAGAAGTCGGTTAAGTTGTTACACAATTAGAATATACATCATGTTGTAAAAGATCTATTCACTCATTCAATATAGAGTGCAATGCACATAAATTCTTCTTTTTAGAAACTATTACTTTCCTTCTTGTTGCTTATGCTCCTAGTTTCATCACCATATAAGAGATTTTTAAAAAGTTATTTTAATATATTCATTTTACAAATGACCAAGAAATTTTAATTCCTTTGATCATCCGTCTAACTTTAATCAATAATAATGTAGAGATATAGTAGCATTCAATTACTTAACTTTAATGTTATATCCTTATTTTGAGATTCAAATCAAAGAGAAAATGCAGATTTATGAATCTACTTATTTTATTTAGCATCTCTTTGTTTTTATTTTTTCTAAGGAAGTTCACCATGTTTAAATAGGTGACTCGAAACTAGATAGATTAGAGAGAATTTTTATATTTTACCTTGCTCTTTTTATTTTTTATTTACGAAATTAGGACTACGTTAAAATAATGTGAAAATTAATTTGTTACTTTGTCATATGAATCCGACTTAGATGATGATTTGCCATTCACATCAAGCAAGCATCATATGAATTTGGGGGTTTAAAGTACCCGTTTTGAACATATTGAGGAAACTAGATGAAATTTTGTACAGTGCGAACAATCTGTAAAAAATAAGTACAAATGTATTCTAGGTCATTAACAGACTTTTTATTCTATGATATTCTAAAAATGGTTGACAGTAGTTTTAGACCAAAAGGTTGAAGGAGGGGTATCTTTGAACCAAAAACAAAGGTGAGGTAATTTTAGACCAAAAGGTGGAAGGAGGGAATCTTTGAACCATTTCCAATAGGTTAGGGGTATTCTTGGGCCTTTTCCCGAAAACAATTAATCTGGAATAACGAAATACTAGTACTAGTAAATAAGGAATGAAGAAGCTGTGAAGTAAAACTAGAATTAGACTCTAATGTTTCTGTGCATAAAGGATGTCATATTTGTACAAAAAAGATAACTGCCCAGCAATTGCTCAAACATAAGGGCAAATGTTACAATATGAATTGCTAAGCTGCAGAATCCATTCTCACATCACACAGCTGGTTGAGGATCAACAAGAGAAGCATTCCTTTTAAAAGGGCAACCTAGCAGCAACTCCAGGAGGGCTTCTCTTCCTACTTTCAACCTAGCGGACTAACAGGGCTGACAGACCCAAATAAAGTTCCAACTGACATAGGACTTCTGGACGTTGATGCTAATGTTGCTGGTGTACCAAAGTTGTCTGACTTCACCTGCCCCTGTTTTTCTGTGCTGAAGCTACTAACAATAACCTGCACCAAGTAACAACGTAAGGGATTTGAATATGCTACTTTAGGGTGCATAATCAATATGGTGATGGAAATAGAGCTAATTCAGACATATAAGGACAGTATCTTAGAAAAATTTCCATGTCAAACCTGAACATCAGTTGCTGCTGTAAAGAGCCCATCCACATTACCTCCCAAAACATCACCATCTGCTGCATTACCAAGTATCACAGTCAAGCAACCTTCTCTGCTGCGTTGACCACCAGATTCCAAGACAAAGAAGAAACCCGTCAGACTAAGGATCTCGTACAGTCCCTGCACCAGTTAACCAACAATTTTTTTTTTATCAGAATGTGATACTATCCAATCTATTGACCCAAGAGAGGCATGTGATGGTACTGAAGTATATCCAGCCAAAAGTGTCAAACACTTGATACATTTGATCGAGGGGTTACATACTACGACATAAATGATAAAATCTAAGGTAGATCAACATATGACCACATGAGGCAAAATACATGCTTAACTTGATACATGTCCACACCCACTCTCTATTGTAAGAAGAAATATTAACATGGAAATACACACCTTATGTGTTACAGGTTCATCTGGTCGGCGAAGTGATACATTAGATATGGAACCATTGGCTGACAGAACACACACTGCTTTAGAGGTACTTTCGCAGAATGACATTATTTTGGCCAATATATCCTGAGAAGCCAAAAAGCCAGATTAAATAAAGTAAAGAAAGATATTGAGAAAATATTATTTCCTATATAAAGAAACATTATATACTATATTCTCGTTGTTTCTACTGATAAGATAACTAAAGAACGAGAGAAAGAACAAAACACATGCTGATCAAAAGAGAGATAAATTAAGACCACACCTGCCCAGCTTCTATCTTGATCACGTGTGATTGCATAAATCCAAGCGCTGCTGCTTCTGATCCTGCAAGTTGTATATCAAGAGTGACTTGAGATTTGGTAGAAAGAACATACCAAGACTGTTTAACTCCAAATTACAAATTATCAGCTATTTAACTCTATTACATTTCAAATTCAGATTCGGTGAATAGCATAAGAGAGGGAATGAGACGTTTTCTGTTGAACATCATATCAAAGTATGCTAACAGGAAAATTGGAAGGGCCAAATAAATCTTTAATATTCAATTTCCAAATTGCAATGAAGAAATACACAGTAAAATGAACTGCATCTCCTCTTTCATGCACACCAGAGGAAAAGGTTAAAAAGAATAAGAATGGCTTCTTTATACTAGTATGAAAGATCATAAAGCAGACATTCTTTTGTGCTAGGCAATTATTCAACATTTTGCAGAAGAAAATCCAACTGGATGCAGGGGAAAAAAGATTTTGCAGAAGAAAATTAGTTAAAGTTGCAAAACTTAACAAGAATCACACAGAAAACTGGTAGCTAATATTTAAGTCTTGGTATAAAGAATTGTAGCCCTAATAATAAAAGTAAAGCAATGCTAGTTGTAACACAAATAAACAAATACAGAAATAATTAGACATGTGCAGAGTATAGAAGTTCACTTCATATAAATTTACCCAAATCAACACTTTGCTGCTTTTTCCCAGTAGAAACCGCCGATTCATCTGCCTGCGGCTGCGTAGGAGACGAAAGTCCACCGCCGGCGACCTGAGACGGTGAAGGAGTAGTCATCCCAGGGCTTGACCTTCCGCGTTTCCGCGTTTCAGTTGGACTGACGGGAGGGACACCGGTAGAGCCGAGGGGAGCTGGAAATGACGGCACCGGAGGAGTCGAGGAGGAGATTGGTTGCATCGGCGTACCATCGTCGGCGGCGGAGGCGGAGGGTGATCCCACGTTTTCCATTGATTGCTTTGAACTGATTCTTCAACTGATTTTTTTCGCTCTATTTTCACTACTCCACCAGTAGTACTGTGCTCTATTTATAGTTTTGAAAAACAAAAACCGTTTCATTCAGAATCAAACAGATTGGAAATAAATTAATTTAAATCCTATTTTTTTAAAAACCAAAATTGGTCAAAATTGTGTTAAAAAATGTAAAGAACAAAAAATCATTTTTTTTACTCCTAACGATTTTCTGTGCTATTTAGGTAAAAATGTGATCATTTTGTTAAAAAAAATTAATTACTTTTATTTCACTTATCTAATTTAAATGTAATAAAGTAATAATTGGCTAATTAGTTTGTTAAATTTAGTCACAGAATTAGTTAGAGTTAGTTAAAAGTCGGTTAAGTTGTTACATGAAATCTATTCATTCATTCAATTCCTCTCTCTAGAATCTGTTACTTTCCTTCTTGTTGCTGACCCCAACCTCCATTAATGGAGGGAAGCATGTTTGAGCTTATGGTCCTAGTTTCATCACCCACCGTATAAGAGATTTGACAAAAGCTATTTTAATCTATTCATTTTATAATGGCAAAGAAATCTTAATTCCTTTGATCTTTTGTCTAACTTTAATCAATAATAATGTTGAAATATAGTAGTATTCAATAACTTGACCATTTAAATATTCATTGATTTTGTGATTCTTCGACCTCCCAAAGTTATTCTAATTGCAAGGCATATCGTTATTAGAGTAATGTAAATTCGAATAATTAATAAGTGTCTTAATACTATTTCTTTTAGTGATTATAGAGTTGATCCTTATTTTGAGATTCAAATCAAAGAGAAAATATAGGTTTATAAATCTACTTATTTTCATTTTATTTAGCATCTCTTTGTTTTTATTGTCTAAGAAAGTTTACCATATTTAAATACGCTTCTCAACCGAACTAGATAGATTAGAGAGAAAAAGGAGAAAATATCAACCACGTCACTCACAATCGATATGGTTATCTCATATGCCTTTTTCTTTTCATATGATTTTGTTTCCTTGCATAAACTGTATTGTTACACTTGTTGCTATCAGGATAAATTTAACCCCTTCATAAAAAAGATATGAGAATTTACCTTCAATAATTGAGCGTGAGAGTTAATGAACAGTAAATATGGTTCCTTTAATCACAGTATCCCACTTTCATTTTCTGTTACAATATTTTCATTCAGTCTATTACCAAAAAAGAAAAACAGATATTCACCTGACTATCTTCACAGAAACAGGAAAAGAAAAAGCTACTAGTAATTATGTATATATTTGATTTGATCAAATAAGTGAAAATCTATGTCTCTTTGCAAAATTTTACTTGTACGAGTTGAAAATTAAAGGAAAAATTGTACAAAATAACTAACTATTAATTCAAATTATATGTTATAACCACAGTTTGATTTAATTGTAACTCGTAACAAACTATTGCCATTTCCCCTCTCTCCCTGAATTTCTCACTCGCCACTCTCATTTCTCGCTGGGCAGTCTCTCCTCACCTCTCTCACTTTATACAAACACAAATATATAAAATACGTTTGCATTTGTATAAAGCGAGAGAAAATT